ATATATATGTATATATATATATATACAGATAAATGGTACATGTACACATTATACTGTAATTAACACTAATTGTAAATGTACATTTTTAAGACTAGGATTGTACAATTGTATAATTTGTACAATTTAATGATTGATATATATATACATATTATTGTGAATCAACGTTAAAAAATATATTTTTTACTTGAATGTGTTTATAGAAATGCATTGGTCCACTTCATTCGCAATCTCCGAACATCTAAATAGCCGCGGGTATTAGAGTCGGCACGCTCACGTCGGCTTTACCGATGAAAATTTGTAAGATGGTAGCTAGGTCTTTAGATTCGAGGGCATCTTGGAGCTTCGCTGTAGCCTCCTTACCACTGATTCTATTACACGAATAGTATTGTTAGAATTGGATCGCGCCGATAAGAATCTTATCTTTACCTTCGAGATCGCTTCGCTCGTTCCCAATCTACATATAAATCGGTAATGATAGCGTGCAGCCTATTCAGGATTTCAGTATCCTTCGCCATAAATGATCTAATCTCCGTCTCCTTTTCCAACAACTCTTGATATTCAGAGCATAAATTTTCCCTTGGATTGGACTGGAGCTCCCACTCTTCGAGAGCATCCAGAATCTTTATTTTTTGGATTAAATCGTAGGCTGCATTCAAACGCGGAAGAATTAACTCCAAGACTCTAGATATGCTTCCTTCTGCTACCTCTGTGTAAAAATTTACGTTTACGATCATTTTACAACTTCGAAGAGAAATATGCAACAATCGCAAATAATTACCGCAGAAGACGTCTAGCTTTAGCTTTCGTTTCGTCGCCTCCTTCGTCAAGATGTCTCTAAGAATTATGATAGTGGATATATTCTCGCCAAGAAAAAGTGCACTTCCTTTTCTGTAGTTTACCAAAAGATTAATGACAAATGCAGATCTGCGATTTTATATTATGTACTTACTTATATTTGCATTTGAGAATTGTGCCGATGAAGGACGAGATATATATTAAAACAGCTTCACCCTCGTTAATATGAGGCCTCTCGGGCACGTCTGGTAACGCTAAAGATAGCCACGCGTGCATCTGAAAAAGAAAGCCATAAACAATTATTTCTCTTGCGATAAGATTAACAAAATAAAGAAACTTAAGTAAAGTACTTCAGCAATGGTGAATTGGCCATTTAGTTTCAATTCATTAAACGGACCACTGGATGTGATATTATCGTCTTCGTGCAGTCTAACATGCAGAGATAAAGCGTGAATGGGAACTGTAATTTTACGGCAACGTTTCGGTTGTACCTGAGAATTACCATAGATATTAATAACATGAATCTTGGATTTGAAAGACAACGTGTAAAAGAAAAATACCTGGGACGTTACATAGATCTGCAAGGTACCTGGTTGACCCTCGATGGATCTTAGTCGCATTTCTAGACGATTTGTATTAATCTATTTACAAATGATTTTTCATACTTTTAGAGATATTAAAATTTAAAGAGATTATATTGTTTTACACACAGAAAATTGCATTTACTTGGCATCGATAAGTAGCAAGGAGGAAATTGCCCTCTGTAGGATTGCAAGCGGATAAGCTGACCACTGCGCTATTGTTCTCTGTCTCCAGCAGGTTGATGGGCGTATCGGATTGTATTAGAATATTGTCAATCGACGCGTCTAATTCTACTGATAGGGAATATGAAGCATCTTCTTTGTGTAATTCCATCCTGTGAATTAACTTTTATTGCGATTTCAGTTTATTCTGATTAATCTGTTTTGTATTTATAATGTAGAAATAATTTTGTTGTGATTACTTATGATTCACTGCTAATATCAAAGGTGCTAAAGGGTCCGGCACAAAATTGGCTGAATCTTTCTCCTCAATGAGTTTCTCTTGCAGTTGATGTATTTCCAGCTTTAATCTGGCCAATCCGATATCGCTTTGTCCCGCTTCTAGTAAACCGGGAGGACTGGTAGTCAATCCGAATACTCGTCCTGAGTAAGTCGTGACGAGAACCTCAGGATAATTGGCGACACCGATTATCCCACCGACGACTGTACTAATACTCTCGCCAGCATTCTACAATGATTTATTTCTTAACTAATATCCAATTCGATGAGAAATATATACATACGATTACAATCACTCACATAGTGATAGCGCAGAATGGACGATACATCTTCGTCAGGAAACGTGTACACCTCGACGACTCCATCCTGCCGACCAACAAGGATATCTATACCGTCTTGCAACTCGTATGTATCCAACGAAGTGATTCCCGAGCCTGTCGAAGTCAACAGCCAGGTAATTCGAAGAGTTTTGTTGCCTTGAAGGATCAACAGTCCGACTCTACCATCCGCGGTACCGACCAAAACGCGGTCCCTCGAGTATATTTCTCCCTCTCTGAAACGAGATGAGTAATATAAAATAATTCATTTGAAATGTGTGTGTATGTGTGTGCTGTATGTGAAATATCAATAATACCTGTATATGGAAAGCACCGTAGGAGCGCTCGGCAATCTTAAAACCGTTGGACTTCTTGTACCATGCAAAACACGTACCTGGAAAGTAGAACTGCATCGATGAATTAGTTATAGGATGCATTCATGGAAAATAATTCTATATTCGAATCTCTCTGTAAGTTTTTACTAAGAAGAAAATTAAGATTGAAATCCATCGCAGAAACTTTACAAGAATGAAAGGATATTCTATGTAAAATCGCAAAAGTATTAATGGTAACTTTTAAGAAATGGAATAAAGTAATCGACAGTTTTTTTTGTGAAAGTACATTTTTTTTTTTACTAAGATTATTGCATTTCTCGATTGAAGTCTGAAAGACTTTTGGGACGGATCCTCGAATCATATTCAATGAAATTATTACGACGTTTTACCGCGCAGTCCGCACAGGCTAGAATAGCGTATACTACGTTGCCGTCTCCAGGCAAGAGCACTACATCGTACAAGGTCTCTCCAGTCAGGTACGAATCGGCATCTTTGCAGTCTCTGTACCGATGATAAAGATCACGCGCGCATGCCGCAAGATCAGGACCGAGGACGTACCTATGAAGAACATTTCATAATAATATGATAACGGGATTGTGGAGTATATCAAAGGTATCATCGTGGAGTTGAGCTGAGTGTAAGTGAACTTACATCGCAGAAATCGGATCTATAAGGCTGGTATCGAACTCTAAGAACAGCTTGCCCTTTCTCGTGAATCCTTTTACGGAGCTGCCGTACGCAAGAAAAATTTTATCCCTCAACATACCTATTGAGCCACCAAGAACCATTTTCTGAATTTTTGGGCCGGGCAAGGATTTAAACGATAATTGCAACTCCCCCTTTTTCATGCCTGTTCAAGGAAGGATAATTTTATATATTTCTTAAATTTAGACGTCTTATAATATTTGTTTCAACATTGACATATTAATATCAAAACACATTTTGAAGATAATTACGATATTAAAGCATCTCTTAACATTAATTGCAATATTGTCTTATTAGAATAATAGTTTAATTATTAATTAATATGAATTAAGAATTAGCATTAAATAATATATTAATTAATTACTTATTTATTACTATTTATTTGTTAAGATATTTGTGTAATAAGATGTGCATATTTATACCATAAATATGCAGCACACCGTCGTGATCTGCAACAGCAAACTTTTGTGGTTGCTTCGTCGTCCCTTCATAAGGCGGAAATATGATGGTTGTGCCACGTGAGGTGACTCCCACCGTCGTATAATCTATTCTCGACAATGCCAATGTCATCACGGATTAATCGATCGATTTTAAAATTCACTGATCAAGTTAATTTGATTCAAACTGCCATTGTTTACTGAAACGCCCCAAAATATCAATTATCTTAGTGTATCAACTTGTGTGACACCCACGACTTTCAGCGCAAAGTAGCGACGACAGACTGAAGCGGCGGTAAAACAATATATCACAATCAATTCAACCATGGCAACGTATAGCATAACAAACCGGTTTTTTTAATAGCGATATGAATTAAAATGTCTATCAATAAAGACGCAATATTTCTCGGTGAATTTTTATCTCAAAATCAAATTTTGAATTTATTTGGATTTGAAATATATATATCCCAACAAAGCCATTTCCCAAAATTATCCGTCGCGATGAAATTTGAAACATCTATTGATAAAGACGAGATATTTTTCGGCGATAAATTCTTATCTCTCATGCGTCTAAATCGAATTTGAATAATTATTGATTTCATGCACGTACAATTCTACTAGTTCGAAATCGAATCAAGATTTAAATTGATTTGAACTTGAAGCTTGAAGTCTCGAGAAGTCGAGATATCTCGATACCGAATCAAGACAGAAAGAGAGAGAGAGAGAGAGAGAGCAAGCTGGTTTTTAAAATGCATAGAATAGGGTTAAAACTTTCGCTAGGAATTAGAAGTAATTATCGTAATGTACTAAATCGCATGACTTGCTGTTATTTTGTATGATATTCTAGCGAGTATTAGCTACATTAGATTTAGCGAAGTTGTTACGCTAAAATCATTAGAACAACGGTTTGAAGAAGCTTAACCTAACTAATCATGAGCAACAAGACTACAAGTACTGGTGAGTACACTGCAATTTCTTTTATATTTTCTCATCGCAAGTATCTCGCGATTGATGCAATCAGTTTTCAAGTGTAAAATTACATTGGAATGTCTTACATATAAAAGATAATCGCTCAGGGGAGATAGATCCCGTACAGGAGCAACTAACTGGTCGAGTACGGGAGGTCGGGAATTATGCTATCTGGAGTTTGTCTAGCTGTAAGCCAGGATTTGGCGTGGACCAGCTTCGTGATGACATCACAGAAACGTATTGGCAATCGGACGGACAATTGCCTCACTTGGTAAACATACAATTCAAGAGGAAAACAACTATTCGTGACATATGTATCTATACAGATTACAAGCTAGATGAGAGCTATACTCCCAACAGGTAGCAATATTTTTTATTGCTTAGAAATATTGTTCAAATGCTTGCTATTTGATGACACAAGTTGATACAAGTATCTTCCTATCTTTGTTCACTGGATACAAAGATAAAATGTTTATATCAACTGATTTCACTCTAAGGTCTAGTTCCACTAATCTAATTATTAATATTAGAAAAAGATAAAAAGTGAATTGAAACAAGATTAAAGTTAATTTTACATTAGTGGAACTAGGCCTAAATAGAAAGCACTCAGCAATCATTGGTTCCTATTAATAAAGGCGTTTTGGTTAACTTTCAGGATAAGCATTAGAGCTGGGACCAATTTCAATGATCTACAGGAGGTGGAAGTGATGGACTTGAACGAACCAAGTGGTTGGATAGTGATCCCTATTAAAAACATCAATGATCGGCCCATTAGGACATTCATGATTCAAATAGCAGTCATCAGCAATCATCAGAATGGCAGGGATACTCATATGAGACAAATTAAGATCCACAGTCCTGCACAAGATATTCTTGGCCCACCTGCGCCTTACATCCCGGGACAATTTCTCACCAATGAATTTTTACGTTACGCCACTATTAGATAAATTTGTAAATTAAATTACTTTAACTTACATATACAGACATATATATATATATAAAATAAAATTTTATTATTATCAACATTCAATTTAACATATTCATACTCATATTCATATTCAACATATTCTTTCATTTTCAATCTCTTATTTTATTCAATTGTTTTATTATTTATTTGTTAGGAATAAATTTATCTTCTATTTATCAAAGAATCTGTAAATGAGAAGTTCTGAGACTCCTTATATATGTATCGTATAGAGAGATTTATATTGGTGTGCGTGTGTGTACACACCTGTTACAGAGTGGAATTCGGAAAGGTAAGAACTATGTACAGAAAAAAAAACCTAACTGTAAACACGATATTATTGGATGGCATTGTGGATCAGTCGTGATCGATAGTTTGAGAGACTATTTTGTGTGAATATGTTGCGAGAGTTCCTTCTAAGTTTCACATTAATATGTGCGACACAGTGCGAATATTCCCCTTCTTATTCAACAGAAAACTTGTACGCGATACTCGATCGGACGACAGAATACTTCAAAAATCTCAGTGATGGTAAAATATTAATCATTTTGTACTTGAATATAAAAATTACTATCTTTATTTAAAAATAAAAAATTCGGCATTTTTAGCGTACAATATATTAAATAATGATACTAGGAATAATATTAACAACGAAATTGCAAAATATATGAACGATAAGACTAAAGAACTTCTGAGAAACAAGCGACAAAAAAGAAGCCTTGAAAATGAACCCAATAAAGGTGAGCAAAAGATTTTTCACTTATGCAAAAATCTTCTGAAATTAATTGAAAGAAATTAGTCAAAGTACGTACATTTCTATACAATTATATCAATTTGAAAGTTTACTAAATTTTCCTTCTATTCCGAAAAGCTCCTTGAACGCATGCTGGCAATCATGATCAGTTAGATACTTGAGAAACTGACCCATGTCATTGTGACGCTCAGTAGTAGGAAACGAAACTTCTTGAAACTCCGTAAACTTGCGCATGTTATCCACGTTACTGCAATCTTCCTCTTTTTCCATTAATTTTATCAATATCTTATGCCAGTTCATAGCTTTAATCTGTAAAAAAAACTATACTAGCGTGAAATATTCTCATTACATTAAACATTGGGATATTGAAAAATCATTATTGACATTACTTTCTGCCAGCAGTAGTCGCAATCTTCCAGAGTTCCCTCCATACAAATTATTCCTGGTTTGCCAGCCAAACAGAATCCTGTGATGGAGTTCTCTTTCGTTAAATTAGCCACGTCCCGCCGTTTGATCTTGCCGTATATGTGATGGCTGTAGATCCAATATCTGGAGAAAACTAGTGCGGTCCGATCTTCCATGCCGCTTGTATTCGCATCACTGCGCTTAATCGCTTGGTTACATACGGAAGCTTTGAGATAAGTCTCAACATTGTCCTGCAGCCACGATATCAGCGTATAGATGCAAGGCTCATTCATCTCCTGAGCCTTGACAACGAGAGAGAGATTCTTGTTCAGTAGACACTGCTGCGTTCTGTCTAAGCAAGAACCTCTCGCATATACTTCAGGCTGCTCCTTCGGGTAGTTACTTGGCAAGCTTACCAGTAGTTCAATATTTTCCTAGAGTGATAAAACCAACATATTAATGATACACTATTGGCATAAGTAAAAGTAAAACTTAGAGCAAGTAGTTAATATTAGAAGTATTCAGTGGTCATTATTGACTTCTTATTTTTTTTATTAATATTATATTTCTTATGTAAAAGATAAAATTCAGAAATTTTTTGACTTTTCGATAATTATGTTTTACTAGTATTCGAGCATTACTAATGGAAACTGTAGCCAAAAGTGGAAATATTAGTTTTCTTGTACTTTAAGAGGGAAAAAGATGTCGACTAAATGTCTTAGATTAGTGAAGTTAACATGCCATATTTTCAAATTTGATTTTTGAGTGTAAAAAATGCGAAACTTTTTTTTATTTTGCTAAGAAATTGAAAAACTATGAAAAGTGAGACTGAAACTGTCGTTATTTTTTATATTAATATAAGCGTGCTAACTTCACAATACAATTTTATGTAGATCTGGCAACATTATGTTGTATATATAAATAAATGTTTATTACACCGTTCAATGGGACTGCGATGGCATACTCCAGCCATCGCGGTGGTTCACGATCGGGACATTCGATGTATTCGTTAATGTCAGCCAAAACTCCATGGTCCGTCACGGCTAGCTCGGTTGGGTAAACGGACTGTAATGCTTGCAGTTCGTTCAACTGTGCTGTCAAACTCTCTATCATCTCTTCCGGAGAAGACATGTCTCAAACGATGATGCATATGATAGGACGTCGAATCAATTCGCAACTTTGCTACGCTCGGTTTTTGACGACGGTCTGGTCAGCCGAATCGAGATGATAATACGAAATACTGTGTATGCGTTCAGACGTTGAGGTTATCGAGAGATCAGCTGATGTTGACATTGTCACGTAGAAAATCCTATCGCGCAGCTGCGTTTTGGAACATGTTGCCTTGCGTATTTTTTATCTTTATCTTTCGTTATATTTCATTTAATTAATTTGTTTTGAAACTTTGTTTATAAAAATGAATCTGTTCAATTTTTTAATTTATTGCTATGACTGAAGTTATATCTCTTAAGAAAAAGATGTTTAAAACAATTAAAGTGTCAAAATATTACATTAAAAATAAAAATAATTTTTATGAGATTGCAAGGAGTTTTAAATGTAGGCTGCTTATTTATAGAATATCATTTTTAGAATTTATTTAAATTTAATGCATAACAATATTAAAAGATATTGATATATCTACAAAATTAGATCTAAAGTAATAAATAAAGTACAGGAATCTTAATATTATCATATGTATCAAATTCTAAAAATGATATAAATAAACATTTCTCCATTAAAAAATTTCTCATAATTATTTTACTTTTTAATTTAATTCTTGAATATTGAGATAAGAAATAAATTTTACAAAAATGCGTTTGTAATTTCGAGTTTTTATTTTATTCACAGGTATAAACGTGCTGCAAAGTTTCGAAGAGACTTTATCCTTCAATTTACCGGATTTTCAAGACACGGCCTTTTTTTTCGTACAGGATGAAAACCGATTTCTCTGGTTCGCAGTTGCCGTCAATTCCTCAGATATATTATTTTATCAATTGGTTGTATGTTGTAAACTACATTTTATATTTCTTATAAAATAATAGAAAAAAGAAACACTTTGTAAAATTATATAATTTTTAGAATAATCAAGCGCAACTTATCAGAACATATCCGCAGCCCAATGGAAAACGGATAATTGTATATAATTATAGCGCCGGTACGCTTATAGTCGTGCAGAAGGATTTCGAAGGAATCGTTATTCTGTGTCTTAGCAAGGACGAAAATGGAACATACGAATTGCAGTTCAAACAAGAGATCGAAATTCTCGAAGTGATGCATACGCATATCTGGCTCGAAATGAATCAGCTGTATTTAGGAATTGCTTCGGAAACAAAAATATCTATATTCGTCTGGCTCGGAGAGAACTTCGACAAGATTGATACGTTATTCTATGGAGCAAGAAAACTCTTGCCTTTTCAGAGCAAAAGTTTCATGCATATTGTCGTCGTAGGATCATTCACGAAAATACTCCGGTTTTCTATGCGTTCTAACAAATTCGTAGAGATACAAAAATTACATTACGCCAACGACGTCAGTTCGTTTCACTTCAAAGAGGGTCATTTCGAAGAGCGCTTTCTAGTTTTAGCCGGTAATGAGTCTACGATCTTGTACAAGGAGATGTACGGCCGCTTCGTGCCATTTCAAAAAATCGCTCCGACGAGACAGATTCTTTCCTTGACAATGGGCAACACCGTCGTCCTATTTTCAGTGGAACAGAATACCGTAGGAATTTATCAATACAACGGCTGGAGATTTTTAAGATTGCGTACGAAATTATCGAACAAATTTCGACAAATTCGTTCTATTCGCTCATATGACGAAGACATGCTCGTAATACAGGATCAGGCTGGAGAATGGAAATTCTTAAATCCTACTTGGACGGTAAAGAAAACGTGGAAATCTTTGCTGGACGAAACAGCCACTTGGTGTTTCGAGACCAAACAACAGGCGTCTCAGAGAACTTTGAAAAAACTTCCAGATTTAAAGAGTCCCGTGATTTCGAACGCGCACATCGGTCAGCTTCGTATGCAGAATGTAAAACACTATCTCTCGATTTCTGTCAGTTTAAATAAAAAATAAAATTTCATATTAACTCGATTAAAATAATTTTGTATTTGAATGTTGCTAGATTAACGGTCAGAATGCAGAGGAATTGATCCAGTTGACGGAGCGATACAAGAGTATAATTGCAAAATTAAATCTGACAAACAGCCTCTTGACACAAAGAACAGAAGATGCTGAAAAATCTAAGCATACAGTCTTGCATGGCAAAAAGCTCACAATCAACTGTAAAACGAATTGTCATATTCATCGTATAATTACAGATGGCGGGATTAAACCCAAATATGTGAAATCCAAACCCAATGAGGTCCTACGGCTCGCCAAATTGAAAGTAAAGACACTATTTGACTGGAGATGCCCTGTTCCTAATTTTAAGATAGATGATATTTTCGTTAAGAAATCTATTAACGGGATACTAATGCGAGATCTGCAAGAAAGAGCTTTGAAAGTTTCAGGAGATCAAGTAATTACAGGTGATTTAATGCACTGTGCTGATTGTGTTTCTTTATTACATATTCTGTATTACATTATGTTTAATATATGAATTTTAGGTAATCATGTTTTCGCCAATTTGCGTGCGACAGACGTTTCAATTCCTTTAGACATTGCGACAAGAAGCATTGAGCAAACAGTGTACATGAAAGAGGCGAGAGTAAAAGATTTATATCTAACCAAGGACGAATTCTTTTTGCCATTAAATGGTCCCATCACTATAATGCACGGTTCGATAACTGCTACAAAAGTAAGACTTACAGGACTTGTCAAAACATCAGGCAAAATAACAGGCAGAGGAATTGAAAGATTAAAGCCTTTGAAAGAGATTCTCACACCGTTGGTATTGTCTGGTGATCGTTTCCTGCAGAACGTAACGTTTAGCAACTTCGTTAAAGCTAAAGATATCGTCAGGTCTCGTGGGCTGTCGATGAAAGAAATCTTAGAGGATACTATACCGTTAGATTCTAACGTATCGGTACATTTGATATTATCCAGCAACAAAACAGTAATTATTTAAAAATTTATGTTTGTGTGCGCGTGCATGACAATTTTGAATTTACTTTATATTTTCGTTTTCAGCAATGGAGCAACGTGACTATGTGGGACTTCGTTACCACGAATTTCGTAACGAAAAATTCTGCTGAAATTATTGTTATTTCTGGAACAAAATACACGAATAATAGTGTCACTTTGTCAAGCGCTGCCCATCAAAACCTTCCCATTCCAAAGTACACATATCTTTTTGTTTTATGAAGCACCCTCTAAAAATTTTACATCCTCTAAAAATATATACTTGCAGATTGACGATTCCCCTATGTGCAAAAGAAGTCATCACTCCGGAAATTAGAACTTCTTCAATAAAAATGGGCGATATATTTGTAAAAAATTTAAATGTTTCACATGTTCTTGGAGCTCAAAATCTGAATACGACTGTTTTCGATTCGGTGTCAGATTTGCACAGCATTGACTTTTCAGCGAAGCTATTCACGGGTCAGGTTTTTGTAAAGAACATATCAGCGTCAAAAATTAAAGGAATAAATATAAAAAGTAAAAATAATTTAAATTGGTCTAAGTTCCACACTACACTCGATATTATGTAGACCTAAAAATTGCAGTGAACGAGTGGACAGGTGAAAGTCACATCAAAGGACCAGTAAATCTTAAGAAACTCGTCGTTAACAATCTCGAAACGCCAGCCTACTTCAATCTCTCTTTACCTACAAGAGTAAAGAACGTAATTATAAAAGGAGATAGCGACATTGGAAAAATCAACGATATAAACATACAATCTTTTATGGAAAATGTACTGAAGGTAGATGATCTGATATCTTTAGGACACGTAACATTCGGTAAGTTTATGTGTAATATTTTCCCATTAATTTGAAATAAAAATTTAATGCGTAATTTATATCTTGAAAGCAATTTATATCTTTTTGCAGCTCGTGGTTTTACGTCAAGCAACATATATGCTTCCCGCTCGACGTTAAAACTTCCGCATTTAGATACAAATCTTAATTTAGGTTCAAAACAGATTTCTACTACTCTAAGTACACATGTGATAAACGTGCCTCAGACTTTTGGTTACGTCGCAAGCAATGCACCATCGACATTTATTATAGAAGGTACAGTGATGGAATTTACTAATTATATTTTATGACGACAGGATTTTAATGATGTATGTAAATATTTCTACTTTAGGATCAGTCAGATTTTTGAAGGAGCCAGTTATAGAAAATATAAAGAATGTGAATCTAAAACAATTATCTGAAAATTTATGGATGGCAAATCAGGACACAACTTTATGTGGTAACAATATATACTTTGAAAATATTACTTTAACAGGAGATATCATCTTAAAGGTAAAAACATAAAAATAAAACAAAAGATATCTTACGTATAAAAAAATAATATTAACCATAAGAAATTTAATAATTTTTTCAGCATTCTAACAATTCATTGAATCTGAACATGTGGAAGGATATGAAATGCAAATTTTTAAGCAAAACAGAAACACAGCATATTACTGTAGCTTCGTCGTTTAAGAATGTTGAGGTGCCTTCTATGAACGCAGAAAATAATTCAATTTTACAATCTTCAGACTTGAATTTGAATAATTTGCTGACTAACTCCTTGATGAAAAATACGACGCAAACTGTTGCTGCTGCGTGGCGTTTTGAAGAATTGTACATAAGTAAGACAGAGAACATTATTTTTCTTAAAAAGATGAATTAAAAAAAATAAATTATATTTTTAATTTAGATAATATGATTTGGGATGGTAAATTTAACGGAATCGATTTAAATACGGATATTGTTAGGCGTGATACAAAACGTAACGTTATCACCGGTAAGAAAATGATATTAAGCTTGACGACTAAAAATCTCCAGGCATTAAATATAAACTTTTCGAACTTTACTAAATATGCTGTAACTAAAAAATGTCAGAAGTTGTTGGTGATTAAAGGTCAAAAAACTTTTACCAACATTACTTTGAATAATTTGAGGTAATTGATATTTCTATTAAAACAATATTTTTGTTAAATGTCGTTAAGAACTCTTACTTTTTTTTTTAGCGTCAAAGGTACGATTATGGGTCGCAATATCGAAGACGCGTTACTGAAATGTGGAAATCAAACGCTGTTTGGAACCAAGAGGATACAAGGGCAGCTTAATGCAACATCTCTTGTTATTGATGGTACTGTGAATAATGTAAATCTGACGGAGTTAATAAACAATCAAATGAAGAAACGTAAAGCGATGCAGACGATAGAAAGTAAGATGGATTTCAGAAATGAAATTGAAATTTTTGGGAACATCACAATCGGTGGACTCTACGAAGGGTTAAACTTAACAAATATTGCGAAAAATAAAATAGACATAGTTTTTGATAGAATGACGGAAGTCATGACATTGACGGAAGATATAACAACTGCATTGCAAAGTAAGTTATACATTCAGATCATTAAATAGCATTTAAGAATGGATGTTAATTCAACAAAATATTATTGATCATTTTGTGCGCAGATCGTGCTATTTATGTGAATAAATTTGAAGTAGTGGACAAGGATGTATTGCAAACCATTTCTAATATTTCTAACACAGAGGACATGAATCTTAACAGTACCTGTCTTTGCGAGTCAGAGAGTACGTCTTCAATTTGTAACGATACGGAATTATTGTATGCTATCGCCGGTATAAATATCAGCGCGGTTATGACGAAGAAATTGATACTGCTGGATGATACTATGTTTCTAGTATTAGTGTCAAAAGATTTCGTCTCAATTTATTCGTATACCGATGAACAATTTTATCAGGTAGCAGGTAAGTCTCACGAAGAAATATTTAATCATATTATAGTAATGAAGAATTGTGTAATATTACAAAATAATATTTGACAGGATTATATGTGCCTGATATACTCGAAGTATTTGTGGAATCAATCGATTATTCGTTATGGATTTTTTTGCGATTGTTCGAGGAAATCTTAATATTGCGTTATCACGCGTGGAACGAACTCAATCAATACGTTTTACCAGGTTCGAGTTCGTTTGTAATCAGTAAGATACCGAATGGTCAACATCTGTTAATACGATCCGATGGTATGTGGAATCTCGGAGGACTTTTCCGTCCGGAACACATTTTTAAAATATCTCTGGAGGGGCAAATAAAGACCTTCATTTTCGATGCCAATTATTATGTCAAAGCAACAACAGAGAACAGCACGACCGTTTTAAAAGCACGATATGTCGGCAACTAGTACGCGTAAAGTGTTATTTCTTAGTAATATCTGTAGAGAGTTTATTCAAATTCGAGAAATTCGGTGTGTACCCATACATAAGTATTTACTTTATATTTATCGTTCTTACTTGCAGTAGCTTGAAATAAAAAAAGAGAAAAACGCAAGATGAAAATTTGTAGATATGTATATTAATTGTATCTATATTAACTGCGCTAAAAATATATTGAACTGCATTGCATCAAATTATTTCTAGTTTATTATCACAAATGAATAAGAATGTAAAAAGGCGAATATTACAGATCGGGAAGAACCAATTTTTAAGTTAAACTTAGGCTGTCATAAGTGTGGAAATTGTCCCCTAAGAAATAAGAAAATTTTGCCGTTTAACATTAGCTTAATATATAATTAATTATAATGGCACGTACTTTTGAAGCGTCTTTAAGGATCGTTATTTCTTCCATTTTGTCGTTTTTGTGCTCGTCAATCATTTCTGTCTTCTCGATTTTCTGTTGTGTCTGAAAATCGATCATTCGTAATTTTATGACGTCACTTGCATTATGCGTGTTCTCTTTAGTTATATATTTTTTTCTACGAAACGTAAGAAAATTGACACGCTCGGAGAGCACATATTGCAAAATTATTCGAGGTAGTCTCGCAATCGAATGCTCGACAAGATGCGCGTGTACACCAAATGGATAATCAGCAACGTTTTACGCATCATCACTACGATGTACGACGGAAACGATACTAAGAGGCATTTAGACTTATAAAGAATGTCTAGGAGCAACAATTGTAAGAGATTGGGACTATCTCCGCCCATACCGATTCCTTCCTAAGCTTCTCTTCGAACTTCTTGCGTTCCTCAATCGCTTTATTAAGCGCGATCTGCTCTGCGGGCGTAAGAATCAGGAGGCGCGGATCCATGGCGATCCAATCGCTCTGTATGATCTGGTCCAAATGCCAGCGTTTAGATACTTCCGGCTCGAGCAAATTGCCTACAAGCTTCTTCACACAATCGGTTAGACTGCTGATTACTTTGCTGCGGAATTTCCATTTGCGCGCTATTTGCAGCTCGTATAGGCGCTTTAGGTTCTCCTCGTCAAATGGCATGGACTTGTTCAACATTATGTAGAGAATCACGCCCAGTGCCCATACATCGGACATCTTTGGATTATACGGGTAACCACGGAGGATCTCCGGCGCTGCGTACGACAGCGAACCGCAATACGTATCGCTCAGAACGTGCTTGCCATGGCTGTCAATCATGTATCGAGCAAAACCAAAGTCCGCCAGTTTGACGTTGAAATTTGACGTGACAAGAACGTTTTCGCATTTGATGTCGCGATGCGCTATTTCCATCTCGTGTAGATATTGAAGACCTGGTAAATGAAGACGCATTAGAGAAAACATCCGCAAACAAATGCATGTTAAATGCACAAATCTAACTCGTCAAATTATAATTATTAATTACTTTTATTAATTGCATTCGTGATTGATTTTTTTAATAAATCAATCCTGGAATGTTCATATTTTTTTTAAATTAACACTACTCTGAATAAAAATTCGCTCATGAAATTAAGAACTTTTTTATACCTTTTTATATCTACTTTATAGGTTGCACAGGTATTAAAATAACTAATATTAGTTTTATATAAAAATATGAACTTCAACAATCTACCCAACAGCAAATATTTAAATTAGCACTCAGATGAAAATTCACTTATAGCAGTATTATAGTTAATGCTGTTTCTTCAAGATAGAAGTATCACGATACCTAAAGCAAGTTGTCTAAACCACACACGAGCTTGACTCTCTGTCACTCTGCCGTTCTTCAGTATATAATTAAAAAGATCGCCATTCTCAGCAAAGCGCATGAATATGAAATACTTGGTACGCCTTTGGAAGATACTGTGAACATGCACTACATGTGGATGATTCAGTTTTATCAGAATGTTCAGCTCACGTGGCAGGAACTTCAGAACAAAGTCCTTTGGTGTATTAACAGTGTCAATTATTTTACAGGCCAGGACGCTATTCCTTTCTGTGTCATGTTCCGGCTTATATTCGGCTAAATACACCTATAACGAGAGAATTAATGCTATTTAAAATGTCTGACAGGAATAATAAATATTTTTTAATTAGAATACAGACTTTTGCATAACAACCTTCACCGAGCTTCCTCCCCAGCTTGTAACCCCGGGCTAACAGTATGACCTCCTCGGATGGTGTATGGCTCAATTGCGACATGAGATTTGTAGGACGATAGACGACATTCTACCCGCTGCATTACCATAATTCTTAATTAACCGTTCTCACTTTATTCGATGTTTAGACACAAATCGCATCATGAATGTGAATAACTAGACGATGTTGCAGAATCTCCATTCGTGCATTCGACAAAGCAAATTATCACAAGACATTTACCGTACTATTCTATTTCTTTATCTTGACGATGGTGACGAATCTTATACTAAAAATTTTGAAAAATTCGCAAGAGCGGTTACTTAACCATTTTGACGATAAGCTGACATGGGCCAATGAACTTGAACCGAGTTCGACCCTATCGAAGTAATAATCGAAAACAATTAAACATCATAAAAGTAGAAAAGCAAGATAAATTTAATGAATTGACATATCTGTACACAAATATAAAACGTTGGAAATTATTCATATATTTGTTTTCACAGCTTAAACATTTTTTAATTAACACTAGAAACGCTGATAGTATTCCGTTAGAACTGTCGAAGGTGCCAATTTGATAATTTCCTATCTCTTGGTTAGTGAAAAATTATTTTTGTATTTATTACATTATTTATATCGTTAGAAATATTATATTCACATATTTTCAATATTCTGTATATCTAATGCAAGATAGAAGGGTTAAAATAATTAGCGGAGCCAAAATGGCACCATCGGCTGTTTTAATTAATCAATGCGCATTCAATTCACATAACATTTCACAGCTCAGAAGCGTAATCCAACCGCTTAATGACCATTTTGTATTCCTCTTCCAAGATCCGGTATTCCTTTTCTAGTATCTCTTTGCGTTGCTCATCGGATGGAAGTCCATTACCATTCGTATACGTGCTTTTATCCCCGGTATTCTTCAACGCGCGCTCTATTTTCATCTCCTCATTCTGTTTTCTTTTAAATGGTATATTCAGTCTTTTCTTCACATCTATTCTGTACGCTCGATATTCTTCTGCGTCCGCGACATTTGTCGCCTGCAATCGTAGAATTTCATACACTATGCGAGCCTGTTTCTGTGAATAAAATATTTATAAAGTAGAGAGAAAGGAGAACAAAACAAACGATGATAATACAAAATAAATCACATGTTAATAGGTACCTTGTTTATTCTTAATGCATTTCTAGCCTCAACAATCATTTCATTATCAAAACCATGCTTTAAACGTTTTGGCGCGAAACTGGACAATGTGCTGCAATTTAAGGCGTCCACATAGTTTCGTAGTCTTTGAAAATCTTCGGACGGACTTTCCACTGTAAATATAGATTTATTAAAATGCATCATTAACGCGCAATGTTGGCCGTATTCATATAAAAATTAGAATTATTACTTTTAGTAACTTCGAAGATGTGAAGCTTAGGAAGAATTCAAATCTTCAAAGTTAAACTTTCGACGTTTAAAAAATATATTTATGCGAATGAAAAAAAAAACGAAAATATATTCATAATATATATTTATAAATATTATGTATATATTTTTTAATGAAAATATTTTCATTACTATTACAATCATATTAAATTAATAATTGTATAATTTTTATTGTTCCAAGTTTTTCAAAGATTTTAATATCAAAGTTTTGAAGTTCAAATTCGAACCCTTCAAAATAAACAACGGTCATAATATACGCTAGTACTGAAAGTCTGTAGTATACGTGATGTAAATTACAAATTTCCAGTAATAGCAGTGCATACATGCGAAATACAGTTTTTGCCGAGGATTACCTGTTATATCTTTAACTTCGCGCCTTCCTATGTATTCGCGATAAATCGCTTGCAACAAATGTTTACCAAGACCTATTCTTCGAAATGGTGGTAAAATTAAAAATTGAGCGATGCGTGGCCGGATATGTTGTGGATAAGCATAATATTGATACACAGTAGCGAAACCAATTGTCGCATATCGGGTAGTACCTACAGACGTCGTATATTTTTCGAATCTATTTCAGAAAAGTGATTATTCAATGAAGATCATGTATATTATACACACCTATATATTGGTTTGAATAATAGGATATCGAATGACTTACAAATTAAAATACTGCCATTGTTCGTCATCGATATCAATAAAAAGAGCCGCATCTATGTACCAAAGAAGGAATGTTTGAATTCTTTGATGATATTCTTTGAATCCTTTGTAACCCATATCTGCTTTATAAACTACAAATTGCCTTGTTGTGCCTTCATCTACATATCATTCAATAAAAACAGTAATAGTAATCGTTATGGCTTTTAAATTTGAAGTCACATGTATAGAAACAGAAATAAGAGAATTAGATACCGTTTATTGAGAAAGATTGTATCAATTCTCCATATGGTATAAATGTATCATCCTTGGCAAGCGTCTTAGTAAAATTCGCTAAGCTATAGTGAACATCAGGAGCGAGCTTTGGAATGATCTTTGTTAACACCTCATCGGCTTCGACTCCCTCATGTTTTGCATTTACTTTCTCAGTATATTTCATTCCCAAATATGTTTCCAAAGAGCCTGCCGAATAGAACAGCTGTATTTTCAGGTCCAAATAACCAAATATTATTTCCCTATGAAAAATTAAAAGAATAAGAATAACAAGATCCACACATACATGAAAATACAATACACATATATATATTTCACGCATAATGTACATAATGCATCATTTATTCTTATTTATTCGATAAATAACAAGGATAAATGATAGGATAAGGATGATGCATCATGCTTATAATGTTTACATAGTAATTAATAAAAAACATAAATTTCAATAAATTAATATTATAACAACAAACCTATCTCCGAATACTTGATAAGTCATCTCTGGTTTGAAGATAGCCTCTTCCAAATGCAAATCATCGAGGTTGCGGATTAATCTGAGTTCCAGGACTTCGTTACTGTCTGCAACTAGCTT